TGTGTTGCTGTTCTGGAGCAGCGCTCTTTGTTTGAACATTGGTGGTGGGAGTTAGAGGACTACCGGTAAGTAAGTTTGGAGTACCCTGTACACTTCCATACGTAGGTTAAGTTTTGTTAAACACACTAGGTAAGTTGGTTGGTGCCACCCTTGTAATGTGTTAGTGAGCTCTTTATTTAGATAAGCAGTTCAGGGGAGTTTTTATTTCATTAATTTCCATCTAAGGTAGTTGTCAGTTAGGCAGTGTTTTTTTTTTTTTGATTCTTTGATTTGGCACAACCTAACTGTCCTTTTTCACCCCTACAACTTTTTTGCAGCTTTTAAAGACTTTTGAAGAATAACGTGAAATAAAGGTTTTCTTCTTTCACTTTTAGAATGACTGTTAATTTATTTTGGTTGTCATGTTAATGCCCCACTTCCTCCAAAAAAAGTGGGGGGCGGGGCAGCGTAACATGTTCCTACTTGGTGGTTTTCACCTATCTTGGTGGTGTGTGGAACATAACCCCGGCGAGAATTGAGGGACTACTGTATATTAAAAAAATATATATGTGTATGTAAAACTGTGTATATATGCGTGTGGGTGTGTGTGTGAAGTCAATTCATCAGCATCAGTATACATTAGTCCCTTGTTTATTGCGGGGGTTCCCTACCCTGCCCCCTGCGATAAGTGAAAAACCACAAAGTATGTAGACAGTAGTCCAAGTTCAAGTTCAGTAAACTTTGTCATGACATGTGCAAGGCTGCAATCACACTCCTGTTACTCCCAATCTCCCTCCTTAAATAAAGAATTTAAATTTAAATACTGTAACATTTTAAATAATCCATACAGCATGTATTGTTTATTTAAAATGTTACAGTATTTAAATTTAAATTGTCGAGAAGAGAAGTGCAGCAGGACAGCAAAGGGATGTCACACAGCCTCAGCTCTGCAGCACAGAACAGAAATGTACTTCTTGATCAATTACATTGTAACAACTGAAAGAAAATAATTAAAAATAACTTTTAACACTTTTATATTTTGTGATTATGATGATTTTACGATGTGTCATACTTTGAATTTTAAGTTGGAAGACAAAAGTTGATTGGTGCATATGGACAGCAAAGGGTTAATCCTTCACAAAGCTGCAACAGGAAACATGTGTGTGTGGCAAAGAAGGAAATCATGACAGGTTGCAGGAGCGAGCTTCCCCTGCACTTATGGACTACACATACAGTGCAAAATCATTTAAAATTAACAACCAATGGCTCATCCATCAATCAGCCAATTGTGTCATGTCCAATCTTACTTTGAAAAAACACGATATAGCGAATCCGCGAAAAATGAACCACAAAGTAGCGAGGGACTACTGCAATAGAGTCAGTGAACGTCAAGCTATACAGTGAGACGTCACCTCAAATGCAGTGTTAATGTCAAACATGCCCTTCAGAGAAAACAGTTTAGGAAAATTCTGGCTACCACTGTCTCATGCTTCAAGCTGTCCTTCATGATGCGTTTTCTGTGCTTGGCTCCAAGAAAGAAAGGGAGGCGGGGGTGAAGGGTTGCATTTATTTTGAGTTGTAAGCAACGCTGCAGTCCATCTTCACGTCCAAATAAACAAATGTAATCCATATCAAAATTAGTGACTTTAGAGGTCACAAAACAAAAAAACAAGAGAGCAAACTGAGTACAAATACTCCCTGAGATTTAGGATTGTTGTCAGTCCACCACTTCCCCACTGTGAAGGAACATTAACACAACCTGACATCTGTCACTCTTGTTCTAGCTGCTGCCAGAATGCAGCTGATCACCATGCACTTATGGAACAATATAAATACTATACTGTCTATAAATATATTAAAAAATAGATGTGTTTTTAACAAATTAAAACACTCTATTTTCAGTCAATTTCTAATTTAAAAAACATTTTTTAAAAGATGACATGGGTAAGCTTCCAGTATAATTGATGTATTTTTCACATTAAAAATATAGTTTAATAAAAATATATATATTTGTAAGCCATCGCCGTGGATCTAGTTGCTAAACAAAGCTGCGTTAGCCCTCATGTCCTCCAAGTTTTCCTCCCAAAGTTACTGCAGATCTCATTGAGAATCAACTCAAGGTCTTTGCAGCTTTCCGCCCTCTATGAGGTGGTTCTGATTCAATGGTCCATGACATCCCAGGGGCTTTCCCAAAGACTGACCTAAAACTTATATGAAGGGGGGTAAAAAGAAAGCTTTTTTTAAAAAGCAGACAAAGCAACAAACAATAGCTAAGAGCTGTGTGAAAATATTCATCAGGTCAACAAACTGCACTGAATGTTCTTGTTAATTTGTTAAAAACACACGTAATGAGCTGGACACAAAGCTGAAATATGAGGCTGATGTGTTTTTCTTCTGCTAATACAAAAAAAAATAAATAATCACTTAAAGTGAAATACAACCTACATGTCTACTGGCTGTTAAGTGACGTACACACCTTGAAGTTTGTAGAGAGATGCTGCAGTGGCACAATCTGAATTGTGCCTGATTTATTCTGTGAAATCAAAATGATCCCAAAGCACACAATCAGAACTATTTTCAGTCACACGCAAGTAAAAGCAAGTTCTGCAACAGATGGTGTGTCCCCACAGAGCCCCGATCTCAGCATCACTGTGAGGGATTGCATGAGGCGAGAGAAGCAAATGAGTCCAACTCAATCCACAGAAACGTGAAAAGTTCTCAGTGCTGCAGGAACCCTCTGAACATCCAAATAAAGACGTTGCGTGAGAATACAAGAGGGAAACCGTGCAGTTTCACTGACTGTAGTGCAGTCAGTGAAACTGCAACTAATCACAAAAAAACCATCAGCTGTTCATATAATCTTTTAGTTTTTATACAGATGCCGTTAGAAACATTGTCACGTGTTTCTGACTTTCTAAAATGTTCATGTACAACATCTGTTCAGGGGATTTGTTGATCAAATCTTGCAGAAATTAAAAAGCATTTCAGAAATAAAATACATTTTCAGATAGACCCTAACAGGTTTGGTGGATCAAATGACAGAAATAAAAATACTAATTAGATCTTAAACCACTTTATTAAACATAAGAAAGAATGTGTATATTAGATAATGTAGATAAATTAGAAAAACTGTAAATTACTACATTAGATACATTGTGTACATGCACCAAAAAACAAATGTGTGTATATATATATATATATATATATATATATATATATATATATATATATATATATATATATCTCATTACCTAATGAACCAATGGATGCACTTTGCTGAAACTCTCACAATGTAATAACAGATAATACATCAACATCTGATAAACTTTGGGAGTCAACACCATCCAAAATAACTTAAGCACTTAGCCAGTTTAATTTGCAGATGAGCTAACATTTAATGTAGTAATAGATGAGAGTCGTCTTCAATGCATATCCGTGAGAGCTATCAAATGATTGCACATAACACTATCAAATAATTCAATTTATACATAGCACATTTAAAAACAACTGCTGTTTGTCAAATTGATTACACAAAATAATAATTTTACATTACAACACAGTAGTTTTAAAAAAAGTATTTAAAAAACATGAAAAGGGACAAAATAAAACCAACAGAATGGCAAAAAAAAAAAAAGTCAATTCGTATTAAAAGCCAGTGAAAACAAAATAAAATTAGTCTAAAGACCCAATCACTTCTGTGGACCAGCTTGGATCTCAAGACAAATTAAGACCTGATCACCTCAGCAGACCAGCCCAGACCTTGGGACAACGAAAAGCTAATTACCATTAAATCTCATTAATCTGGAAGGCATATAAGGCTGCAGGAGGTCAGACGGTGTACAGGAGTTAGCTAAGAATCAAATTTGAATAAAATATTACACCCTATTTCTCACGTGAGATTTTACAAACAGCTCAAGCCTACGCAGATCTATAGGAAACACATTGCAATTTTCTCCTGGGCCAAAAAATAACTTCAGTTGTATCCTCTGAAATTCAGTAAAACTGAAGCCATCTAAGCGTTTACCTCGGTGAGGCAGTCAAACTGTTGTTTCAAATAAAAATACCAATTTTGCTTCAACTGTAGTTAAATCTGAGCGTCATCTACATAGAATTGAAAAGAAATGGTACATTTTCTAAAGATGGAGGAGCATTTAAATTGAAAATAAAATAGATCTGAGAATAGATCCTTGGGGACCGCCACATATGGGGTGGGCTGAGGAGGACACAAATTCTTAGAGGCTTACAAAGAAACTCCTGTCATACAGGTAAGACCTGAACCAATCTAGTGCAGAGCATTTGATACCACATTGCTCCAGCTGGAAGATCTGAATTTATTACTCAGAAAATTTTGAAGTAGTATTTTATGTAAATAAACACCTTAAAAAAATATTTGTTATTACCTTATAACAGTCTGATTTAATCATATTCTGTGCTATATGGCTGTACATTGTGAATTACATGACGATTACCTGTTTTGAAATGTTATGATGCTATCATTTCATTACTACCATCCTACTACTGAGATCTTTTATGAAATGCTAATTAATTTAAACAAATAAATCAAACAAACTTGAATAATTTCACAAGTGGTATGCAAATATCCAGTCAATGTTCCTTCTAGGATTTAGAATACCACTTCTTTTCCACAAAACATTAGCTTTCAAACACTTATATTTCAGCATAAAATGTATTTACTCTTTCATAAGAGGGACATAAAAGTGTGAGCAATACCGAGCGTTATGATTTTCAAGTTTAAAAGCAGAACACTTTCTGCCTCGTAATTAAAAGCAGCACTGTAGAGCTACAACTAGCCGTCAAAGTGAAAACTGAATCTTCAAGCGTTTCATTAATGGGTCAGATTGTGCAATGTGCTTTTTATGCTTTTCCACCATATCAACCACATCTATCAGTTCAGTTCAAACACATTATGGAGCAGTGAATCCAGTCATTAATACAGCAGCACACCTGGTTCAAAGGAGGGTTAATAAAAATGAAAACGGCTGAAATGAAGCTCGACTTACCAATGTACTGGTTCCACTCTGGGTCCAGATCTGCTTGATTGGCCAGGCAGCCCTTCATCACATTAAGGCAGTAATTTTTGCAGGGTTTTACTTCTAACATGCCCTGACAAAAAGGGCAGTAGAGCATCTTTGTCAGCGCTTTTATGCAAGCAGGAGTGCTGCTTACCTGTAAAAAAAACAGAAACAACCCTCATTAGCTTCAATGAAATTAATGATAATTCTAGTCTGTTGTTTACTGGTTACATAAACTTTTTTCCTATGAAGTATATCCAAAAAAAGAAAGTAAACATACATAGTAAACATAACCTGCATTAATGTCTTATAATATTTAAACACGCCATTTGTTGTGCAGTAATATGCCTTAGAATGAAAGTTTGTACTGGACTTTAACAACTCATCAGAAAAATATATATATATATATATATATATATACCTAACCATAACTAATAAACGGTAAGAAATAATTTGTACAATCAAAAAAAAGTAAAACAGTTAAAGAAAGGAAAATAAATACTCATACAATAGAGATTAAAAAATTGATTGGCACTAAAAAGTTTAGCAACCCAAAGATGAACTTGATATCTTTAAAGGTGTTTGTTTAAAGCTAAAATGCATTTCTGTGTTTTTTCTTCTTTGCTTGTTTTTAGTTTTGTCAAAGTTAGAAAAGAGAAAGGGCCAGTAACCGAAAAATATATTTTTTACTAAGGTCATATAGTAATTTGCTATTTAAGGATAATAATTTCTCACAGCCATTGTTGACTGAAACAATATAAAAGTCTAAACTTTATCTAAAAAAAAAACTGACCTAGAAATCTTACACTTCTCAGCCACGACGTCCTACTACTTGACACTTGAAAATTAAAATGTCCACAAAAAGTAAAATGTTAAGGCTTTTTACATTTCCTTTTTAATGCAATTAATTAAAATAGTACCAAAATTGGGCTTTGAAACAATGACAATTTCAGGATATTTTTATGACTACTTGGTAATATTACTAAGAACACATTTTAGTAATACAGTAGTCCCTTGCTACATCACGGTTTGTTTTTCACGGACTTGCTCTATCGCGGTTTTTCAAAATAAGATTGGACATTACACACAACTGGCTGATTGATGAATGAGCTGCACGATTTGCATAGAAATTGTATTTAAAATAAATTATTTAAAATTATTTAGCACCTGATGCATCTGTGTGCAGCCCACATGTGCAGGAGAAGCTTTCTCCTGCATCGTGTCATATCTCTGCTCTGCAATGAAGAAGTGGGCGTGGCCAAGAGCGCTGGCAGAGAGCAGCCGGAGTCAGAGAGCTGACATCCTGTGCTCTTTTAGAGCATTTAGAGTTTAGAAACATTGTTTAGAATTTTCAAGAATGTGGGAAGGGTTTAAAACACCTTTATATGTATGTATATATATATATATATATATATATATATATATATATATATATATTAATCCACTTTCAGTGTACAATGACAATGTATCAGCAGCAGAACATTTTCCAGGGGCTTACATGAGCAACAAATTCCATGAAATTTTTGTCAAAATTTCTGACATTCTCTGAGCGTTCTGCTATGATCATGTGTTTACACAGAGCAGATCCTGGGGATTGATTTAGATACAACACTTAGCATAAAACATGCTTTTTAAAGAGAAAATAATTCAACAAAAACAACAAAAAAACATTTTACTCTAACAAAATAGTTCTGATCTTACACATGTTCTACAGACGTGCATCATGCACATGTGCATAAACTGAATGCAGCCTCTCTTAATTCCCGTTATTCCAACTTTATTGTGAAAAAAAACATCTATTGTGGTGGATTTGATCCTTGGTTTGTATTGTAGTCTGAGTAGAATTTAACCTATAGGGGGACAAATTAATTTAATGTCAGCAACCAATCTTTTGTGTTAGTAACAAAGCTGGTGATGAATTTAACAACAGGATGATGCTCTTGAACACACCGTCGCATCACAATGGGCTGCCTCGAGTGTTCAGCCCCGACCCTCACTGTCCCTGACCTTAGCATTATTTAAAGTCTGTACACAGCCTTTGACTACATGCAAGACAAGACAAGAATCTCACTCAACTAAAATCTGTTTGCAAGTTGAAAAATATTTAGCTTTCACAAAACATCTTGCTAAAATATTCATAAGCTCTGCCTGCATGCCGAAGACTCATTTAATGATGTTTAACCAGTGACTGTCAAAAGCTTTTCTAAACAGACTGATAATTGCAACACTAATATCCAGCCTTCTGAGAAACTGGAAGAAAGCAGACTCTTAACAGCAGAAGGAGTGCGTGCTAATTCCAATTAGATGCTTTAAATCAACCATAAAGCTTTTTCACCCAGGCTAGTTGTGGAAAAGGATAGAATAAAATATAAAAATGATAAGTTTAGCTTTTCAGTGGCCTGTTAAAATACAAAACACAAGTTCACTGCTAATATATATATATTTTATGTCTTTATTACTGTTAAAACTGACCTGGCAGATCAGACAATAAGCCATTTTGATCCATATATTTTAGGCTGTTAAACTGTTTTTCTCATTTAGCTACATTTACTGCAGACCATCAAGTAAATACAGCTGTGAATAATCAAAAGTTTAAAACAAAACCATACAACATAAAAAACCCCGACTTGAATCAATACAATTTGCAGTATGCGCCAATATAAACACATAAAAACGTACAAACTAATGTTCTTCTTTGATTTGTGAAAGATGTCAGCACTTCACATTGCTACACTTACTGCTCCCAACACTCTAATGTTTGCTCTCCTGTGAAAATATTTGAAACGAAAGCTCCCGGGTTGCAGTTAATGGACTATTTTCTCCGTTCCATCGAGCAACAACTTTTAGTGTCTTTAAGTTTGAAAAAAAAACAACAACAACAAAAAAAAACAGCTTTTTAAAAATATAAAATTAAAGGGAATTATATTGTGATGTTCCTTGCATAGGGATGCATAAATCAATGTTGACAACATTATATGTGGCGTGTGTGTTTACATGCCTATTGCTGTGTGCCTCCTGACTGTTTATTCATAATTTATTGCATGTTCATCATGCAGACAGTAAATCTGGATGTAAAATATGATTCCTGTAGTTCTTACTGAGCCCTCACTGACGATGATAATGAAGAATGCAGGAGTTACAGCCTTATAATGTTGGTGTCCAATCATGTGGACATGTTGGACTCCATTTTGACACTTAAATATGCATGAACATACTCTCATAAAATATGTCCAGGGGTCTGCAACCTGCGGCTCTGGGGCCACATGTGGCTCTTTTGTCCCTCTGCAGCGGCTCTTTCAGGCTTTGACCAAAACTAAAATAAAACTGAATTTGCTTTACCAACAATGAAAATGTCTAGTTAAAGCAGATTTCCTGTCATTTTCAAATATGTGAAGAATAGTACAAATACAAGGCATAAAACATGTGGACTACATCATGCTAGTAGTTTGTTAGCCTCTTTAAATCGACTTCCGGTGTCACAGCGTGATCTTTCTCTCAAAACCACCAAAATGTTTTGGAATATGTTTAAGACAAGTTGCAGAGAAGGAATATTTGATGACTCGAAGTACAAAACACAAAATACAAAGTCAAAGTTAACTAAAGTATTTATTTTTCTTAAAAATAATGTAACTGGATATCCAACAAACTGATCTAAGTTCATACTGTTTTTAACTTTATGCTTTAATACTTAATTCCTCAATGATTAAGAGAACTCCCATTGGCCTGCAGAGTTCAATGTTTTAATTTTTTATAAATTTGTTAAAAATTTATATTTTTTCTTTCTTTACATTGTCTTTTCTTTTGTATTAAAATGTAAAAACGTCAATAAATGTTAATGTAGTTAGACATTTTTTGTTTTATAATATCACCCCCACTGGCTGGAAAAGTATCTCCAACAAACTTGTACTGGTCCACGGGCCACCACTTGATAGTGCACAGCTGTAGCAGGGTTTGTGGCTCCGGACATCGTATTAGTAAGAAAAGTGGCAAACAAGTCTCTTTTGATCACAAAGGTTGCAGACCTCTGGTTCAGAATAATCGTTTTTGATGCTATTGTTACCAATATTGAACTGGTATTAGGTGAAGTTGCAGCCTCATATAATTTTCCAGTACATCCCTCCATATTGAACATAAATAAATAATTGAAAAATTCAAAACTTCTATGTTTCAACTTAAATAACTATACTAGTTACAATATTTCTGACAAAAACTTGACCAAGCTTTTGAATGTACTACAGTATATTCAAGAACAGCATTTAATTTAATTTGGGTAAATTTGTTCAGGCATTTTCTTTTGGCAACACTTAACAAGATAATATCTTTTTGTGTAAAAGCAACGTGGAAATCCTGCCTGAAGGGTGTGGGCAACTTAAACCATGAAGCTATGTTTTGCTACTAAGATTTTACATCAACAGGTTCTGTGAACATTGTTAATGGATCTTAAACAACAAAAAAAAACTTGTGATGAAATTACAGCTCTTTGGTTAAACTTGATGCAAAGCACAAAAAGTTACATTAGGCTTTGTTGGATTTCAAAGTATCTGTGACGTCAACATTTTGTAATAAATGCAAATGCATTTTTGGAAAGACAACATTAATAAAATATTGCAAAATAAATGTCAAGCTGCTGAGCTGTACAGTTGTTGGGGAATTTGCATGCACAGTAACAGGAAGTGATGTCAAAGGGGAATGTCTGCATATGAACAGAGCATTGGTACAATGGCTAACACAGACAGCAAAGAAGAATCTGACATTTAGATTATTTAGAGTCACAATCAGAGATTATGAAGAGTCAGGGTTTAGATATTGTTTCAATGAACAAAAACCAGGAAGTTCCCCTTTTTAAAAAGTTCTCCTTTGATGTCACTTCCTGTTTCACTTTGGCTGCGTCAAGTTTAAAGGTAAATGTGCCAGTTATGTGACAAAATGAATAATATTGTGTATTTAGCCAACAATTCTTAAATATTAAAATGTTTTCTTCCATTTCTGTATTTGTAGGATATGCATTAGGAATGTATAAAAACTTGCTTTCAACTATGACCTTACCAAATTTCAGCTCAATATCTCAAATAATGTCTTAGTTATAGTCAAATTTGAGTTGTCTGAGGTAGGTGCGGCAGCCATCTTGATCCAAAATGGCTCCACAAGTTAATTGGTGTTTTGTTCGAGACCTCTCGACTCTAGGCCATGTGACCTCAATGTGACAGTTCGAAGCTTTTAAGAGTTCTGTCAGTGTTTTTCAATGAGAAAACTGGTGTCGTTTACAAATGACGTTGCCACGGTAACCGGAAATGCCAATAAAAGTAAAACCTGCATCACTGTGCTGAGCCGGTCGTTTTGATACAAAATGTGTGGGGGTACAAATTTTCAGGCCGCATTAAAGTTGATAGAAGAGCAAGACCCTTTTCAGGTGGATAGTAATAGGCCTCATACGTAGTCCCCAATAAAAGTTTGATATCCCCTCCTTTAATTCAACATATCAAACTTAGCGGACGCACTAAACATTAACATCCCAACTTAGCAGCACTGTGAAACAAACACCTCTCACAAAGTGTCTCTTTTCATTATGCTTCACCTCAATCTATCATGATGAGTTAATACCCTGCGGTGATCAAAGGGCTGCAGACCCAGACACATGACCCCAATTTCAGGTCCCGCTCAAATGTCAAGAGGTGAAGCCGGGACGCGCTGGGCGGGGTGTAACCCGGTAAACGTGCTAACAACGCATCGTCTGACTGCTGATAAACGAGCCCAAGTACTATTACTGGGGTAGTCTTTTTAGGGGGTCGGGAAGGGTGTGCGGGGGGGTGCTAAAGTGAAGGAAATATGTTTGAAGTTCATCGGGTTCACTGTGGTGAAGACAAACAGAAAATAAATTCTGGGTTCTGCAAGGAAGAGCAGCTTTCTGCTCCTTTTCCTTTTTCCCCTCGGATGATTGAGGGTTTCTCAACTTCCTCTGGTTTCTGGTTTTAGTACAGAAGTTCTGAACATGGGGCGATAGTTCAATTAAACTGACACCCAGTAGCTTGCAGTGCGTTAAATTATTGGATTAAATCATCATAAAACTTGTTTTGTTGTTGGTAAATGTGACCAATAAGTTCAAGCCTTTTGTCTTTTTTTTTTTAATCTAACTGTTGTAGATCAGCACTCACACACAGAACTGCGTGTGAAATGCTGCAGAGGAGGCATTAACTTTACATCTCATCAAATGGAAAAAGACGGCAACAGCATGATTAATGGCCTGCCTGTAGTGTGAGGACAAATATTAGCCAAGAGAGCAATAAAAAGTGATGGCAGAAATGGCTTCCCTCTCCTCTTTCATTGTCGGGGCCATCTCTCGCTCTCTCTCGAGTAATCCACAAACACTTCAACGTTTCTTTTTATTTAAGACAGCGACGGAACTAGCCACCTTGAGCTTCAAATTTCCTGAAGACAAGTACAAAGAGAGGCTGGCGTTCGTCAGAAGGAGTGTGGGAGGATATAGGAAGGAGTATGTGCTTATTGAAGAATGGAAAAACAAAAGAAAACAGCTCCTTGGGCTTGTAAGAATCAGTTCAGGATACGAGTAGAATCTCATCTGGGGTCGTGTTTTAAAGTGTTCTCCCGACTCAGAAGCTAAATCGTATTCAGTAAATTGTAGTTGTGTGTTCTTAGAGGAAAAGTGGATTTTTTTTTATGTATAAGGTATACACTGATTGTAATTAAAGTAAATTGGAATTAATGTAGATGTAATGCAAATAAGGATCGTGTTCGAGTGGTGAGAACTCTTACCTTAGACACTCTCTGGGCCACTTCCCGGCCAACAGAGAGTCCTTGGACGAATGTGCGTGCAGCGATGAATGCACGGGTAACCTGAGCCTTGAGCTTCCTGGGCACGTCTCCAAAGGGCTTGAGCTGGTCGGTGTACTTACTGATACACTCCAGATAGTCCTCTGTGATGACATACTGCGAGTTGAGCAGTGTGAACATGCGCTCCAGCAGCCGAGACCAAAAGTCATTAAGCATTTCCTCCAGGTTAACGTTCCCTCCTGTGTAATAGCGCTTCAGCTCAGCGAAGAGGTTCTCAAAGACCTCCGCATTCTGCATGTAAGGCTTGCCGTAAGTCCTCACAAACATCTCATTCAGGGACCTCTCTGTGTTCTCCAGCAGCTCCAGGAAGAATTCTAAAGTTAGAATAAATAAATAATTGTTATTTTCTGTTCACATTCCCATAAAAATATGCTTTGATAAGAGACATTAATACGACAGAGGTTTAGGGCCACGCTAAGAAAAAAAAAAAATAAAATCCATAAAATTATGAGAATAAAGTCATACAAGACTTTTTTTTTACAGCTCTCGTTTATTTTATTTTATTGTTCCACGAGTCATATCCACGACGCGACCTGTCAATCAATCCAATAGGCGTGTCAGCAAATGACCGATCCGAAGCTAAATGAGTCGTAATATTATGTGGTAAAATGAAGAATGTTGAGCATCTTGTTAAGTTATACTTTGGTGTTGGTTTTACAAATAAGGAGATAGTTAATCTGCTAATCAGCATCAGATTATTATCAGTATCAGGACTTTGAACCTGCTTACTGTAAGGTGGTACGCTCTGATGGGCTGCAGCGCAGCTCTGCAGGTAAGGAGCATTTAGCTTTGAATTGGTCATTTGCTGACACGCCTACTAGATTGATTGACAGGTCGTGTTGTGGATCTGACTCGTGGGAAAAAAAAATTAAATAAATAAACGAGAGCTGTAAAAAAAGAAATTACTGTACGACTATTCTCATAATGTTATGGATTTTAATTTTTTTTCTTAGCGTGGCCCTAAAGCTCCGTCGTACATTAAACATTAGTAATGAAAATAAAAATGCAGCCAAATGACATACTGTATATACTGCATACACACACATACAGAATATATGTGTCGGTTGTTTATTTAATTTTAAAGAATCTTCAAAGTGTAGTTTTTTTCTTCATTTTTCACCAGTATACTGCAGCCATGGGAGCTGTTCTGTCCATATTTATGGAAGGCAATATGTTCTGTGCTTGTAGTGCCTTGTTCATATCTCAACTAATAATGCCAAATACCTTCCAAAACCTTAATATAAAAGAAATGCATGTATATGCCAAAGCTATGTCCTATAAACTAAGCGATACGGCCTTCCATTGATGCCAAGACTGGGGGCTTTACTAATAAATGTTGGAATTAATTTCATGTCTGGGACTTTTTTCTTCACATTTCTTTGTAATAAATTGCTAAAAAATCAACAAGCTGGATTCTTCCCATCTTTCATCATTTTGTCGTGACACCCCTCTGTTTTAGCAATTAATTTGGATCAACCTGATGAACTAACAGCAAGTTTATGTGAATTGCTTTCTCTTCAAAAGAAAAACAAACCTCAAATGTTTAAAACTAAATCATGCAAACTGTTTTTCTTTTGTTGTTATTACTCAGACTAGCCTTGCTTGTTATCTCCAAACTGAGGCCAGTGAAATAAATATCTACAAAATAAACAAGATGTTCATTACAACCTTTCACCACCACACGTTAAAGATCTGAATAAATACTTAAGTCTCATGTATCGTTATGCAGTATCATTTGTAGCCCCTACTGAATGCATTTCATTACAGAGAATAAGTAAGACTTAAACATTCATGAGCCATAAGATTATGACCAGAGAGACTAATGGCATAAGACTGCTTCAACACAATGTTCTGCACCTATCTATCTATCTATCTATCTATCTATCTATCTATCTATCTATCTAT